TCTCTCTCTCTCTCTCTCTTTCTCTTCCCCCCTTTCTCTGTCAGTTTTGCTCCCCCCCCCAAAAAAAAACCCCAACCCCAAATCTTTGTGCTGGGAAAGAGGGAAAATTTCAATGCAAGGGACGTAACTGTATTAATATCTTTGATTCCCCTAAGCAAGAGTTATAGTTCATATTGTGCACATTTAAGTCTTTCTTTTCTTTTCTTTTTTTTGATAACTGTTTTACGGTGCTCGCAACTGCATAAGGTCATATGAACGCACGGGACACGTGAAACATTTTCAGTTATTGGAAAATTTGAATTTTGCCCAGGTGGCGGCCGAAGCCTACTCTTATCGATTTTAGACCACCAAGGAATCTTTGACGTGCGCAACTTGCAAACAGGCCCTCCTGGATACTCTTGTCCGAGAAGGCTAGGTGTAGTTCTTTCTTACCAGAAGATCAGGGGTGTGGCTGAAAGACAGCAGTAAGAAGGAGCCGAGGAGAAGCAGTAGAAAGGCTGCAGAAAGAGTCAAGAGCCCAGAGGATCAGGGGTCAAAGGAGGTGAAGGGGTGGGGGCAGAAAGTGGAGACGAAAGCAGACGAAAGAACATTGCTAGAGAGCAAGAAAGGAGGTGAAAGGAGACAATTTTAGATAAGAATATATTTCCATCGCTAATAGGATTCGAACCCCGGACTTTTGAATAAGAGGCAAACACCTTAACATCTAGCCCACGAGAGCCCCCGAGCTTGATTTCGTATTTCATTCTCGTGGGTAGATTTTATAAGTGATCCGTATTTTGTACAAGTCTGCCCATTCCCTTGAATTGCGGTTATCGGAAATTGCCTTTAATCAGAAGGATTATCTCTGAGCTGATCTGTTTTATTCAAGACTTTTCAAGGAAAATATAACTTTATCTAAAGCTCAACAAGGAAGTACAACTCATGTAAAAAAATCAATATCACCTTTAATGTGCAGTAATGTCCCTTAGACTGCAAATCAACAGTTCCTTTGTCTTTCCTCTGCAGGATTTTTCTCTAAACTGAACAGTTTTATACAAGATTTTTCAAGAAAAGAACATTTTGTTCAATGCTCAACAGGGCAGTAACCCATGTGAGAAAATCGATGTCACCTTTAAAAAGAAGTTGTATCCCTTAGACTACAAATCTACAGACTCCCGAGTTCAGAAACGAATTCGCTGAATCAGAGTACCAAGTTAGCCTCCAATATAATCTCTCCTTCAGTTTTCCTTTTCCATTCGTCTACTTTCAGTCTCTTATGTTTCTTTAATTCTCTGACTTTACTCTTTTATGTATCTCTCCCCCCACCCCCCTCTACCCCCTC